ACACACACACACACACACACACACACACACACACACACACACACACACACACACACACACACACACACACACACACACACACACACACACACACCACACACACACACACACACACACACACACACACACACACACACACACACACACACACACACACACACACACACACACACACACACACACACACACACACACACACACACACACACACACACACACACACACACACCACACACACACACACACACACACACACACACACACACACACACACACACACACACACACACACACACACACACACACACACACACACACAACACACACACACACACACACACACACACACACACACACACCACACACACACACACACACACACACACACACACACACACACACACACACACACACACACACACACACACACACACACACACACACACACACACACACACACACACACACACACACACACACACACACACACACACACACACACACACACACACACACACACACACACACACACACACACACACACACACACACACACACACACACACACACACACTTAGCCAATTATATATAGTAGGATTTCCCAGACATAGACTATCATGAGCATTTTGAAAAACTCATTGAACTGTGTCCACTGATTGTGAAACCTTAACTTCTAAAGAAATTTTGATTCCCGTATACCGCCTGATAGCCTACATTACTTTTCCCATAATGCAGCACTTCCGCGGATCTCTTTCACGGAGGGTCCTCTCTCACTGGAAAATCTCTAGCCCGTAATGGCCCAAGCTTACGTGCGCGACCTCTGGGAACAGGGCTAAATAGCCTACCAATAAGACCAGCAATTACCTCGACAGTGTTCGGGCTACTGTTCTGTAGTGCTGTGTTGATTCATACCAGCTGTCTCCACTTCAGGCGTATCCATGCATGCTTGCGTGTGTGGTGCGCTCTGTGTGTGTGCGGTTTGGTATCCTGCATGTCGGCACAGCCAAAAGCTTGCATTCAAGTGACTGGGAAGTACATGGGAGGCGATTCGGGGCCGCCTCCAAAAATAAGCCCCTTGTTCCGCTCCAGGATAGCGTGGCTAACTACCTGGAGAATATCCTAGCCGTATAACTTCGAGAGGTGCCCCGATCCGTCTCCAAATGTACCTCCCATAGAAAAATCACTTGAAAATTGCGAAGCTTTTTGAACATGTGACGACTATGGCTCAAGGATACACCCCACCATACACAGAGCCGACGATTACCACTGCAGTATGCATGGTACGTGCTGAATGGAGCAGTCGGCATGCTAAAAGACTTATGTAAAGTGTAGGCATTGCGCACTGGCAGATCAGGGAGTCCCCTGAATCGCCTAATAAGAGTTCGCATGAAGACTACGACTAATTTGAGATGATTATACATGTTCCTCACCTGAGGTTCCGCGACCGATAGCTTGGGCCCACTAATCGCGGCTTCAGAGAATTGTTCCAAGTCAAAGTGAAGAGAAGGCCAGCCATATCGTGACAGAGTCCCGTGAGTGCACCAGAGAAATTATAAGAGAAAATAAATAATACGAGACATACAGGCGGTACGGGAATCAAATTTTCTTATACCAGAAGTTAAAATAATAAATAGGACACAGTTCAATGTTTTTTTCAAAATGCTCATGATAGTCTATGTCATCCTACTATATATAATTGGCTAAGTGTGTGTGTGTGTGTGTGTGTGTGTGTGTGTGTGTGTGTGTGTGTGTGTGTGTGTGTGTGTGTGTGTGTGTGTGTGTGTGTGTGTGTGTGTGTGTGTGTGTGTGTGTGTGTGTGTGTGTGTGTGTGTGTGTGTGTGTGTGTGTGTGTGTGTGTGTGTGTGTGTGTGTGTGTGTGTGGGTGTGTGTGTGTGTGTGTGTGTGTGTGTGTGTGTGTGTGTGTGTGTGTGTTGTGTGTGTGTGTGTGTGTGTGTGTGTGTGTGTGTGTGTGTGTGGTGTGTGTGTGTGTGTGTGTGTGTGTGTGTGTGTGTGTGTGTGTGTGTGTGTGGTGTGTGTGTGTGTGTGTGTGTGTGTGTGTGTGTGTGTGTGTGTGTGTGTGTGACCGAAATTCATAGCGCTTGCACCAGCGGTCGTCAGTTGATTTCAAGATATGATATAGGGGATGGGACAACAAGAACATGTTTGGTGGGGGACAGAAAAGGCTAACAGCTAATAGGGGCGATAAAAGGCGCGAGAACGCAAGTGTCCTCAAATTCTCAATGCGCTGGCCCCGAGACTGGTCGTACCAGTGGTCATAGTTAAGGAACGTTTTTATTTTTTACCATTACCTTAAAGAGATTTCTCTCATGCATGTAGCTAAGGCTGAAGGGTTCACCCTAAAAACCAGGAGTATTATTTTCTTTCGCAAATCTGAGTAAGGATTTCGATAAGGTGAACGTAGTCGCCAACTTGGGCCACATACACTGCGCCGCATGATGGTACTTCTTCCTACAAGTTTCCCAAAAGGTTGCATCTGAATATGTTCCTGAAAAGGCTCCTGGAAGGAACACTGTGATACTTATAAACGCGATCCTGAATATCACCATACACAGCTCCGCATAAATTGTACCAGCCACTTATGAATTCTGCAAAAACTCTCCTCCTAAGATGTATTCGTAGAAGTCTCTATAGAAAACTATATAAATGCTATTTTGCACACAAGCATCGAGTTCCAGCATTGAAATTTGAAGGAAGTTTCTCTGATATTTTTCGGAGAAGCCGCTCTGAGTTTTGCGCATAATTATTGCGCAAACATAGCCACCCCATGTTTTCATGCTGCCTTTCTATTCCGTGAGATTAAATTTGTTTTGTTGTTATTCACACTTCGCCTTTGGGTAAAACAAAATTGCCGTCGCGCTTCATACATATAAGATAGAAAGTGTTTTACAATGTTAACAAAAACGGTTAAAAAGTTGAGAGGCAGCCACACTCGCCGAATTTTGGGTCAAGTTTGCTTTAGAGAAAACAATTTACTCAAGCATTGTGCAGGATAGAGTAAAATTGAACCTCGGAGATCTTTCTTTGCTTTCGGATTCCACGGATAAATGCCGCCTCATAAGAAAATCGTTGATTTCAACACAAAACTGTTTCATCAAGTTTTGTTCGGAAATATAACCTTATTTGGATCTTAATTCTCCCACAGTTGTCTGTTCGGCGTCTGTGGCAATACCGCAGGTTCACCCACGAGCATGAATTGAAAGCGCATTGTTTATGACAACAAAACATCTCAAAAGCCGAGACACTTTTGTCAAGAAGTGAAGCCGAGCTGACTGGAGTGAGGTCGGCTTTTAGCTGTCATTTCTCAGGAATTACCTGCCTTCTTCCGAAGTTCTTTAATCTCCAGGATACGCTTCTCCATAAAAGAAGCATTCAGCAACGTGAAGAAAATGATTCGAGAAAGACAGACTAGGCGTAGGAAATGACAGGCAAAAATCGACCCACTCCAGTCTGTTCACTTTCGCTTCTTGAGCGATCTATCTCGGGTTCTGAGATGTTTTGCTGTCATGAACAATTCGCTTCACATTTCCTCAGTCGAGGATGAACTTGCAGTTCTGCCACAGACGCCGAACAGACACCTGTTGGACGAATTAATCTCCAAATAGGTTTTATTTCGACACAACTTGATGGAACTGTTTTTTGATTTTTTTGTGAGGCCGGCATTTTGTCTTAATCGGAAGCAAGGAAGATCTCCGAGGCAGGGTCAACCGTCCGTTGGACAAAGTCCAACGCGACGACGAGAGTAATGCCGAGAGTGAACGTACGCACGGAGACACAGACGGCTCGCGGGTGGCGCGGTGAACATCGGTCCAACGTCGCTCCAATATCGGTCCAACGTAACGGTTAACCTTGCTCCGAGGTTCAATTTCACTCCATATCCTGCTCAATGCTTGAAGAAATTGTTTACTCTAAGCAAATTGGCCCAAAATTCGGGCAGTGCGACTGCCTCTCAACTCTTTCACGGTTTTTGTTACCATTTGCCTTTATTTAAATTATGATGATCGTTTCAACCATATGGAGGCTTCTTCTAATACATCTTAGGAGAAGAGTTCCTGCAGAATTCATAAGTGGCTGTACAGTTATGCGGAGCTGTGTATGTTGACATTCAGGATTGCGTATGAAAGTATCACAGTTCCTTCCAGGAGCCTTTTTCAGGAACATATTTAGATGCAACCTTTTGGGAAATTTGTAGGAAGAAGTCCCATCATGCGGCCCAAGTTGGCGACTACGTTCATTTTATCGAAATCCTTACTCAGAATTGCGAAAGAAATCAAACTCCTGGTATTCAGGGTGAACCCTCGGCCTTGACTACATGCGTGCGAGAAATCTCTTGAAGGTAATGGTGTTTTCAGTTTGAGGGCGTAAAGCAAAACGCTGCTATTAGAAAAAAAAACTCCTGCTCCGAAGTTACCTTTCTTTGCCCTTTTCTTCTGACTTCTTAGATTTCATTTTCTGAAAAAAAAATTTTGTTGCTTCGCTGCTCTTACGTAATTAAATCACCACCACAACTGCGTCTTCATGGCTCTTGATCGGCTAATTCAACGAGCGAATACAAATACAAGCCGGAAAGGTTAAAAAGAAGGCATACTAGGGCAAGTGGTAGGCGTTGTGATGAAGGGGGATGGTCGACGGCAGATGGTTCTCGGTGTTACATCATCACCGTTTAAACAAGGTCAATGTTGCAAAGGCTTCGTCATGAATAAAGTGGTGGGGCTGCCGTTATTTTCGACGCTTTCTGTTTTTCCTCTTTCTTGGTCTCGTCACACCCGATAAAAGCCCTGTTCCAGTTTGAGGCTTTTAGCTATTTTTTTCCTTCATATGTTATATGTGAGCCAAATAGTGTCTTTTTGTGAGCGAAAGTCCTTTACGGGACAGTCATCACCCAAGATACATGGTTATGGAAAGATCGCTAAACATCTCCTATATATGAATATGATATATATATATATCTTGATTGGGAACAACCATCTAAAAAATGTTTCCTAAAATCTTACTTCACTCGATGTGTTTGAAAGTGGTTGGCTGCTGAGACTCCTGGGCGAAATGGATCGTGACTTCTTCTTTCTCGTTCCAGATCGCGTTGCAGTTCGCGTTTTTGAAGCAGCTTTCCTTGTTGCTTTTGGACCACTTTTCGCTTGCGCTTCCGTTGCAGTAGAAGAAGATGTTTTGAGTGTGCTTTTTTGTCGCATTGCACTTACTGACACTGGTCCACCGACAATATCTGCACCTGTCATTTTGGACGATCTGACACTCGTATCAACGGAAGACTGTCCGGAAATCGTCATATCTGACCTTAGTAAAGCACGTGATACTGGCGTCGTAGTAGGCATGGCTAGCGGAGCAGGACCTTGTCGGTTTTGAGCTTCGGCCTCAATTGCTTTAGGCACACTAGTGTTCAGAGAAGGAGCAGCTTGGTTGAGTGCTGTTCCGCCTTGAGCTTCTGCTGATGATATTGCCGGCGCAGTTGGAGCCCCAGCCGTTGAGGCAGACGTTATTAACGACTTGTCGGTTGAGTCCCTTGCGGTTGCCATCTTGTCATCAGTGGTCGCTGTTTTTGGTGGTACGGAACGAGTCGTCCGCTCTATCATCGTTGACAGATCTGATGCTGTTGGCCACGTCTATAATGCAAACACTTTGGAGAAAATCGGTTCTGAATGACAGGAGTGCATATAGTATGTATATGTATACACACAGTAGCGGTCGGAAGGTTGGAAACCTTTTTTAGCGCAGCCAGTAGGCAACAAAATTGTCCCGAATTTACATGATGTATAGGAAATCACGTGCAGAATACAACGCGCTGCATCACTTCTGAAAATCAAAAATGGCACTCGAAAAAATAAGATTTTTTATTAGAAGCGGCACGTCAGAAGTTCGGGAACTCTACTCCGAAGTGAATTCAAAAAAATAGCGTTGAGCTGCACATGAGAAATTAGCAATTTTTTGGGTAACTTTAAACTTCTATGCTAGCATCGTTTTCATTGAAATTGAGCCGTGTCATTTTAGGACTTTTTAGTGTGAACTGAATCTAATTGCTTGGTGGTATTGCCCATTAGTGGATTGTACGACATACCAACTCTTTTTGGGCTACGAAACTCAGGCTTAGGCTTCAATTGACTTCGTTTCTTCACAGCAGTTTTTTCTTAGGAAGGCGGCCAGGGGGAAGTAGGCCTCCATCGGATCAATGTTGTAATAGAAACCCATACTTTTCCGGTTAGTTCTGACTATCAAGGGAAGCATTGTATTCTTCAGACCATCCTTGTATTAGCCCAGCCCACAGTTCTCTGGATACTAAGAACTGGGGAATCGCCGAATGGTCGGACACATCGTCACCCATGACCATACTTCCACCCTTTCTGACTCTTGGAGTTTAGCATCTGAAATGAGGTTTCCATTTGACAGGACACCTGACAGAACTCACAACATCATTTTCGGGAAGGCGGAAATACCATACCTTGTCTCTGAGCACATGTTTTTACCTCTCACCTTCATTCCCTCCCAGCGGGCAAATACGAACCCTCTCCTGTGACATGTCGAGGATTCCTCAACGCACGCTTGACCCTGCTTCTGATTTCTCAGAGGCGACCTAATGTACTGCAGGTCATCCATCTGAATCCCACTATGGGATGCGCGCGGTCGCGTGCGAAGCTAAAATGATAGATACATGAAGAGATACATACATAAAGCACTTATCATGTTGGGAATAGGAGGAATGTGTTTCAGTCAACGGTCCTATCCAACTACTGCACTCTCCAATCAACGTTTAGAAAAACCTTATTTCGACACTACTAACAATAAGCTAATGCAAAAGCACCAATTCTGCGCTGATCTCACCTCCAGAAGACAAAATGAACTTTGTTGCGTCTACTCATAATAATGTGCCGAAAAACCTACTATTGACTTTTCGTGTGGAGGCTCAAGTGCTGTCTTGTAGCGTTCTGAAAATCAAGGAAAACATTAAAACTAACATGTTAGCAAAGGCATAATGATATGTTGCAGCATGCTGGAAAATCCATAGTTTGCAAGGGTTCAGGTTTGAATTTGAGATTATTACGTCTGCGAAAAGCCCCCATTAGAAACACAATTTCAATAAATAAGTGAGTTTACCATGAAACATTATACAGGGGTGGCCAAAAAAAAGAGACACTTCACTCCACATTTCAGACAGCATTAATCACACTTTGCTAAAATCAAATCGACTGCCCCAACTCAGTATTGAAGAGCACATTCTAATCTATCTAAAAGTTACATGACAGCCTTCTACACCGACGACATCAGAAGATTTTCCCACGGAAACATGGTTCACGGTACGAGCTCAACGAGGTCGTCGAGGTACCATAGACCATTACGACGTCCCTGAAACGCTGGTCAAAAGCGGTTTGCATAGTCACAGCTAATGTCTCTGGGAAGCTATTCAACAGTTAATCCATTGAAGAAATTATGTAGCAGCTTCAGGCCGGAGCGATTACGGTAAGCCTCGTTGAGCTCGACGGTGACGGCAGATGACGTCATATTCTGAAGACGGCGGGGCAGTGAAGGAGGGCCTGCTTCTGTTACGGGGGGACACCTAAGGAATATTTCGCCGTAAAACTTCAACATCGGCTCCCTGTGCGACGAAAAGTTCGATGATGTGCGCCATGGGCAAAGTGACTTTTTTTGGCCACCCCTCTACAGTTCAGGACACTCAAACGAGCAAATACATAGGCTCAAAAATCAGTATCGCAAAACGCCAAGATCCTCAAAACATTAAGTTGGCCATACGAGATTGTTTTGAGCTAAAGATAAGTTAGCTTGTATATTTTTTTCTAGCTTCATGCCGACTACCCGCTCTCAAAGTGAATTCCTTTGCACGCTTAGTTCGGAGTCGCGTAAGGGAAATTCATTCAAGCACTTCTCTCGTTCTTGAGCATTTTAATTTGAAGCGTTGTGAGGGCATATTCATATGAGCCTTGCGTTACCTTATCAACTAAGCAAATAGCAAAAACTTCGTATTTCATTGTAGCGATGGTAGCTCTAGATACCTGTCCCTCATGGCCGCATTTGGGGTCCTTGAGTACAGAACGAGTCAAAACGAAGAACGAGGAAAGCTATTCTGTACTTTCTCAAGTGCATACAGTAGCGGTCAGAAGTTTGGCAACATAGGTTTGTTTTTGATCTAGCGCGGCCAATAAGGAATTAATTTGT